AAATTGCGAATCGCAATCGTGTCATATCATATGATCTCGATATTTTGTCTTGGAAGGAGAAAGTTTCGATAGTTTGTTTTAGCTATAAACATACTCTTTCTCTCTCTCTCTCTCTCTCTCTCTCTCTCTCTCTCTCTCTTCATACTCCGTTATTTATTTAACAAAACAACAGAAACAGCAAACAACAAACTACATTTGTCCAATATAAAGTGCCGTCGTATTCATCAAAATTTTTCGTGCGAAATTCTACAATGCGTATACGCGATATACGCGGTAGGAAGCTGAGGCGGAAGCAGCGAAAAATTCAGCGGAGCGCAAGAAAGTAGAAAATTACGCTAAACCGACGATTATAGGCAGACGGACGTACTCGTAATACCTAAATTATATGCATCCTCTGCCTTGAACTTGAACGTTACACGAGCAAACGTAGAATAATAATGGGCACGCTTCCTCACGTAGTTCGCGATTAGAGCATTCTTATGAAACTTGTCGCGTTGTCGTTGAAAAGAAATCTCGCTCGTTGACGCGACTTTACAGAGGCACCTAGGATGCGCTCGAAGCGCAGCTAAGACCGTGCCATCGCCATAATTCGCCGCTTCATCGTCGCGCGCGATTATTATTTTTATCTCGCGAAACAACGAACATTTTTGGCTGAGCAGCTGATACGAGGTACCGATATCATTCCGTCGGCGTCGTCGCCATCCTAGCGCGCGTCTGCGTTCGAAGCGATCGAGCATCTGAGCATGCGAGCGTGTGAATTAGCGCTTCGATAACGCACTCGATCGCTCTCGGTCCGATGAATCCCCGTTCACTCGCCCATCATTATGCAAACGTACATTCGACGCTCGACGCTCGCGAGCACAAGAGAGCTCCGAGCTCGCGAGCGAGTTGCTCTCATCTTTTTACGGTCAATTTAGGTGGTACTCGATCTCGTGAAATTTTCGCCACCAATTCTCGCAGCAATTTAAACGCCCGTTACGTTTCCATCGTGATTTCGTGATGAGAAATGTTTTACCCGTAAAATTTGTCGCGCGACGCGCTTTGATCGCTACGATTCGTCGAGCAACAACCACAGGCGCGTCGTTGCGCCTGTGAATTCCAACCGCTGCAGCCGACCTATGCCAGCTGATTCTGAATTCTCGATTGGCGGAGTTTACGGTACAGCGGTGCGCGCGCGCGCTCGCTCCAGGAGTCCACCAGGAGGAGTAGGTTAGGTGACAATGACGATGCCGAAAAGGCTCCGCGATGCATGCGAGAAGAAGAATCGCACAGAGAGCCGAGGACGGCCGATGGAGGACGCGCGATCCTCGCGAATGGCAGGAAGCTACCAGGTGTAACGGTACCACTCGCGCGCGTGCGCGCAGTGGTTTCGCGTTCGCGCCATCGTCGATATATATATATATATATATATCTATATATAGAGACGAGCCACGGGCTTTGTCATAGTTTTCGAGCTCGAGTGACGCGCCGCGTCGCGTCGCCAGTCGGTCGTTCACAGACCATATAGACGAAAAAACGGTGGCCCGGAGAGAGAGAGAGAGAGAGAGAGAGAGAGAGAGAGAGAGAGAGAGAGAGAGAGAGAGAGAGAGGAGAGAGAGAGAGAGAGAGAGAGAGAGAGAGAGAGAGAGAGAGAGAGAGAGAGAGAGAGAGAGAGAGAGAGAGAGAGAGAGAGAGAGAGAGAGAGAGAGAGAGAGAGAGAGAGGGAGAGAGAGAGAGAGAGAGAGAGAGAGAGATAGCGAAACGGGAGACGAGTCTGGCGTTTCTTGCGCAGGTTGGGACGAAGTTGAGATGAAATTTTAGATAATGAAAGGAGATAATTGTCGTGAAAATTTTCTATCGTTCCATTACTTTCTCTTGGCTCTTTCCTTCTCCCGTGCCCGATGAAAATGCGTCACAGAATTGAATTTACAATGACATCGTCCCGCTCAGACACCCGCTGTATCCAAGTCACATCCAAGTACGGTCGAACCGATTATCGCACCGATAATTCCTTCGAGAGGGTCGATATCGGCGTCCATCAAAAAATTGACACGGAATCAAAATCGCACTCTTGCTCCGTGTCTTGTACATACATTTCTTCCAGTTGCAAGGCCTCCAGGGGCCTTGCTCCAAAATTTTATCGGTCGGGTCGTCCATTTCGTCGGCTCGAAAGATGAATCATTTTACAAGTCTCTACATATAATACTGTAGATTTATACCGGCGGGTGTCCAAGAAGAACATCGTTTGAACATCGAGAAAGACTGCCGCCCACCATCTGTAATCGTGAGGTCCCAATCTCTGCGAGGCGAATCCACCAAGTTCCGTTAAGCTTTGTTGACGGTAACGGTCCGTCCGCGATCGTTAATGCGTCGATAAGAGTTACGTGACTGATTAGCATTTTCCAGTGCCACCCGTGGCAGTGTCCGCGCGACAGACTCCCTTCCGCCTTTATCGCGACCACTGCACTGCATATAGAGGTGGAACACAGGAGTGGAACTTGGTTACCTACTTACCTCTGTGCGATAATGTGACGTACCGCCACCCTGCAGTGAGTCTGGATAATTCTTTTCGGAATCATCGAAACTCACGCTGACTACGCGAATCCAGCAAATTGCGCAAATTATTGATCGACAACAGACGATTCGCACTCATCGAACCTTGGTCATTCTCTGTGCGCAGTTATATTGCCCAATAGTTAAATATAAGTGGGCAAGCAATTGGGTATCTCAATCCGTGTGGTGAATCAAGCTGAAAGAAGGCGTTTAAAGCAACAATGCGTAATTACACGAGAGATATTCCGTCTCTTGCGTCAACCGCGCCCGCGCGCGCGGCAGCATCGTCACCGTTCATAGATCTTCCGTTCTCGGGATGATTCATGTCATCTCGCAACGATGCAGGTACAATGACGCAGAGTCGCGGATGGGATAGAGCGGCTTCATCAAGGATAAGAGAGCGGACGTCTCTCGTCGACCGTCAGCGACGTAATGTGGGTAATTCGTAATGAGGACTCAGGCGCATTCCTGAACACGTTGTCCGCTTTCTCTGCTTGTCTCGCTCACTCCTTGGACACTGTCGACGACAAGAGAGATTTCTCTCTTTCTCTCTCTCTCTCTCTCACACACACACACACACACACACACATACACACACACACACACCTCGACCCTTTCCCCATCGGCTGCCAATCGAGTTCAGCTCGAATGCGAGCCAAAACGAATCGCCACAGTGAATAATTTTCACTAATTGACTCGTGCTATCGCAGAGACTATAAGATTCCAAATTATGAATGTCTGTTTTATCGTCTGCAAATATTTTTACGCGTACCAAGTTACATTCTGCATTGTTAGAAGGAAACTTTTGAGCCAAAGAGTGCGCCAAAGAATGCGGGGACCCGGCTTCGCCAATTACGCTCCTTTACAGCATTCGTGGCCTCGCGTGCGCAACATGCAAACGCACACGCATTAGCGCGGCAAACGAGGAACCTTAGGCAGTGGAAGCAACCAGCAGGATCCAACGGTACTTCTCGGAATAAAATTGTACATAGTGCTGCGCCCCGTGTTGATTACATAATCAATGCCTCGCACCGTATCACCGTAAGAGGAGCGAACGTTTCGAACGTTCGCCGTCAGCCGTACACTCGCAATCGTTGGTCGAAAAAGAAAAGGAAGAAAAGAGAAAACGAAATTAATAGAAAGGGAATTACGATTCGCGAGGAAGGCAAGACTGCGTGCGCGTGTGTGTGTGTGCAGCACGTGACGTGTTTGATTTAAGAAAACTCCGTTTTTCCATATCTGCCGGGATTTACAGGGTTTCGATTTGATAATTGACAAGAAATTCATTCTCTTATGATGTGCGCGCGCGACTACACAGCGGTGTAAATCGAAGCCGTCGCCTCAGCGTCGCGATTCAGCGATATTCCGCAACATGAGCTCAGTCTCCGCAGCGGAGCAATCGATAAAGCACAGCATCCGGTCGCGAGAAAGAAAAAAGAAGGTGTACATTCCTCGCGTGCTCGGTTGCGTGAGTTAATGTGCGACGTGAATGACTCAAAGGTATTTAACCGCTTCGAACATTGTTCGCAAACGCGCTGGAAACGATCGATTTACTCGCCTTACCTGCCGCAACTCCGCGAAACATCTCCGCGCGTTTTCTCGCGAAAACATCCCGCGAAATTTGTCGACATAGTCGCCTTCCAGTAGGTCCACAAGAAAGTCCACAAGAAAGGATACAAGAAAGATAGAATAGAAATGAATATTTTCGAATCTTTTCGAATTGGAGTGCGATGCGATGCGATGCGATGCGATGAGATCGTGTACATCGATCGAGGACTCTTTTAATCAGAGCGTGAATTCACCTATCGAAAAGCACGTGGAAAGTGCATCGAAAGTACATGCACACGCGCGTGTAGACGCGATCGAATCTGTCGTGCCGCAATCGTAACCGCAACGATATCGAAAATACCCGATCGACCGCTCTGTGTGAAACGACTTGCAAAACGACACGACACGCGATACGCGAGTCGCACCGTTAAATTCAGTAAACGGGGAACGATTCTGACAACGGATTGTGAGCGAGTGAGGAGAGTGCACGAAAAAAGGAAATGAAGAATTATAAAAATGAAGAGGGAAGAGAAACGCTTGTGGATTGATGCAACGCACGTTGTTGCGCGGATAAACAGGATGCCCATTGAAGGCGCGCGCGCGTGGTAAAACGGACTCATGCGAAGGAAAAATAGCCGCGGTTCGTACCTCCCTCGTTTTCGCTCGAAAGAGTCTGCAAGAGGCGCGAGTTTCCGCGTGGCTGTCGTTGGGGAATTCACTTCGATGCAACCGAGCAACGAACTGGCAATCGAGCGGCGGCTCCCAAGACGAAGCGGCGCATAACCGTACTGTAACCGAGAGGAATGTCGCGAAAATGGAGAGAGAGGGAGAGAGAGCGAGAGAGAGAGAGAGAGAGAGAGAGAGAGAGAGAGAGAGAGAGAGAGAGAGAGAGAAACAAAAAGTGCAAACACTAATGCAAATTTCATTTCGTTTCGATCTCTTGTATTTTGCGACGTTGCGGTCGCAACGATCACAAAAATCTCGCAATCATGTATTTCCTTTCATTTTCGGGTCGGGTATATAGACGGGCACAGAAATAGGCGAATTAGCAAAATAGCCGAATAACGTTATTCAAGGCGTAATTATAAGGCGTAATGATTAGGTTCCGATATGCCCGGCGTAGCTCGGGAAAAGAAGGAAACTTTCTCGCGCGTTATCCGCGTTCTCGCACGAACGTTTTCCCGTTCTCGGACGGTAAATCAGCCGGACTTGACCGAACGAAGTGAGCATGCAAAATTGCCGGAACGACGTACGGAAGGCGTACGGGTGCGTGCAATCGACTCGCTTCCAAGGAGGAACGGAGAAGAAAGAGCAGATGCGGAATGTGGCGAGAATGAGGCCGCGCGCGCGCGCGCAACTGTGCCTCCGGCTCCGCCACCGCTCCGGCACCGCCTGGCAGGTTGCCTTCGAACGTCACGTCAAACGGAAAACGATGCCCATTCACATTCCCGGAGTGACTAATCGGCGCTATCGGCGCTGGCTCGCTCAAATCAGCCGATTGTGTCGTGATATTGGAAAACTCGAGCGTCACGATCGAAAGTCAATGGTCTCGAGATCGACGCGGTGCAGCAGCGGTCGCAGAGTTATTATCGGAAATTATAGCCGATGCATGACGCAGTGCAGGTGACGATGTGCAACGCATTTTATTCGTGTCATTTGTTGAAACGACCATCGAGATACGAGTCTAAAGACTGCGCAACCTACGGTACGGCGGGCGCGGGCGCGGGCGCGGGCGCGGGCGCAACACTCAAAGTTCCAAGATTCTCACTTGTGACACTTTCGTGACACGTTGTAACGAGTTGTCGCGAGTTTCCCCAAACGAGCACAATTTCAGCCTTGTTTTCCTTTCTCATTCAATGTAAATGTACAATTGTACTCGCTCACTTTTTGCTCGTGCTGTCGTGCAAACGTGTCGTAGCTGAAATGAACGAATCTTTGAAGAATATGGTATACAAAGTTTGATTGATGATGCTTGATGATGCTCCGATCCTCGCGTGGTTCCTCGCGATACGTTTGCGACACGTACAATTGGCCAAAGTCAGCCTGCGCATGAGACGAACGATTTACGCAGAGGATATCTTAGTGTAGCCTTAGTGCGCCAGAGGATTGAGGAGCGTACGCGTCATGTACACTTGACGAAGAGACGGTGGCACAGATCTAACGGCCGGACCAAATTTATAAGCGGTCTATCGCTCCGCATGGCCACCCATGTTTCCAGGTTCACTCGAATCGTATAGAAGTCATCGCGAGACGGCACAACCGGCTCGCTCGAGGCTCGTTTCTCGTCCCGATCGATAGTCCCGTTTGTGTAGCCAATGTCCTTGCACGCAATCTGTGCGTCGTCCGGTGTCGCTGGTGCCGGATAGCATAGAGAATGCCATACACCGTAGGATCGTTGCAAGACTTCTCCCGTCCCAGATCTGAGAAGCGACCGATTTAACCAATTTAACCAATTTACGTCTCTATCTCTAAAGTCTCTATCTCTAAATCTTTGTCACACTTTTTGCTCGAAAAAAGACTTTTTACAAGCTACTTCGCACGTGAATGAAAAACAGCTGACACCAAATGGGATGAAATCTTACTTATCGTCAATGGACTTGCGCAGCTCCCTACATTGTTTCTCGTCTCGGCCGTTCAGACAGTCCTGATCGCCATCGCACACAAAATCTTGAGGAACACACGTGGAGCTCTCGTTTTCTCTGTACATAAGCGCATTTGCAACTTGAGCGATTGTTTTTTTCATTATACCTCGATATATCCAGCGACACAGTGAGTAGAGTAAAATCACTCGCAATAACAATGAACGGAAACGGATTTCTGACGTGAGATGCTTACATGTCGCATTTAAAGCTGCTTTCCGTGCAACGACACACATCCGGCGACTCGTCGGTTTTATCGAGACAATGTCGCACGCCATCGCACAGCCTTTCCGGTGCGGTCAATCTTAGATATTCCGCGCAGGTACAATTTACGGGTTCGTCTGTGCCGTCCGAGCAATCCACTTTGCCGTCGCAGAAGGTGCTCTTGGGTATGCACTCGCCATTTCCACATCGCAACTTGGTCTTTGCGCATTCTATGTCGCACGGGGGAGGAGTGTAAATTCGTAGAAACAAAAGAAAACAAAGTAAATAACAAAGTAATATCCGACATGAACCTGGCAGATATTCCTGTATTGCCATATAGGATATTTCATAAAGGAAAAGTATAGCGTGTGTGTATGCTACAAGATTTGATAACGTTGGGTGCAATTTGCGTTAGCTCTCTCAATAACAAACAACAACTACTCACCGCGATTGATGTCTGTATTATAAATCCGCCGTCTTCTTTCACACGCCTCATCCGTCTCGTCTGCGGCGTCTCGGCAATCCGCCGCGCCGTCGCATACTCGATCCCAAGAGACGCATTGTCCAATGTTGCATCGAATACCGTCGCATGTAGCTTCTTCAGTCACTGCCTGTGGCTTCAGCCGTTGCCTGTCTGCGCGATGCGCGGCGGGATTCAGCAAAGAATTCGATTACTAAGAGTTGTTTCTTCTTCTGTTTCTTTTTTTCCTTCTTTCTTTTTTTTCAGCGAAGGAAAGGAAGGGATCTGACGAAACGGGGGCCCAACGATGGGGCCCTCGAAATCGATCGTTGGGATCGTTGGGATCGAGCAGTTTACCTAAAATTTGCGTGATGCGAGCGTGAACGTAATCGATGCTCGTCAGGTTTCGCGTGCTTCGGAAACTACACGGACCGTTTCTCTCGTGAAACACAGCCGCGGGATACCATCCTTGCTGACTGTGACTGTGACAGACCACCGTTCCAGTCCAATCCGACGACACCGAAACAGTGTCGTTGGTCTGAGAGCGGCGAAAGAAGATTCGTCCGATCGAGATCGAGATCGAGGGAAGAGATCGAGATCGAGATCGAGGGAAGAGAGGAAACAATTACATTGCACCGAGTACATTACTCGAGTTATATTAAGTACATGCCGCAACGAGTTATATTAGGTACATGCTCGCTCACCGAACACTCTGGGCCCTCCGGTGTGGCTTCGACGAAGCAACGATGACACCTGTCGCAATTTTCAAGGATCGGCCGCAGTAATACAGATTGCGACGAGTACTTCTCGTCCGTGCCAACCGCCACGCATAAATCGTCATTCCCCGGTGGATAGATTCTGAAAAGAAAGACAGACAAAAGGAGAAGAGGAGAAAACAGCACGATAAAACTTGAGTAAATGTCGATAGAGGAGGTAGAGCACCGACATAGACATAGGACAGACGGACCATACAGACGAGGAAGAGAGCAATGCCAATGAGACGATTGACTTGCGTGCGATTACTTGCGAGTCGCTGACGAATCGAGAGACGAGTTGCTCACTCACTTTTCTTGCAGAAACAGCGGCAGTACGTAACGGGTGAGGTTCACTGCGTGTTTCAAATGGAGCAACGCGACGTCGGAATGTCCGACCTCCTTGATCTCATCAACGAACGATATCTGTTGATAAGGCCCGTTGACGTAGAGGTACGAGCGGCTGCAGCCAAGCAGAGCGATCGTGTAATTCACCGATAACCTGCAATTTTGTTCACCTTTGTTTACCGTTGTTTGCTCACGCCGCTTTCTCTCGCCGCAAAACTGCGATCGACGATCAATCTCGATCAAAGTCGGCGGACAATGGCGGGTTCAACTGTTACGTTCCTCATGTATCTCTCCCAGCCCTAGTCTGTTTACTTATTTTTACCGTTATGTTTACCGAACATTCCTATCCCTTTCAAACATTGCTTTATTATTTATATATCTACTCTTATAACCCCATCCTTATTTTTTTCTCTTGATAGTAGTTTTCCTCCAAATTTCTCACGAAACCGTTAGTCAGTCTCCAATTGTCTTCCTTCCCAGTTGCGTTCCTTCAAGGGAACACCTCCCGCTCCTCTCGTAGTATATTCCTCTCATAGTGTATATTTAAATATATATATATATATACACATATATATTCGAATCAACTCTTCTCTCTATAAATCGTCTCTCCCCTATTCACGAAGAAATTATTATAATCATTACGTTTCGAACGTAACGTCGGAACGTAACAGTACGCGGGTAATATACGTGTAATATACGTGTGTATGTGTAATCGACGAAATTCGGACGCAATCTCGTCGCGCTATTGAAACTATCGACGCGACGCGACGCGACGCGACGCGACGCGACGCGACGCGAGATAGGGGTGAATCGCGATTCCCTCGCTTCGCGAGTCTCAAAAGGGCAAACGACTCACGAGAGTCTCAGAGTTAGCAGAAGCGATTAAGGAGGAGCCGGAGAGACATTGTTCGTGTTGCCGGGGACAGGAGAACAGGAGAAGCCGTCTCCTCGTAGCCGAGGCCAAGGCGAATAGGCCTTTCGCGCTCACCTGATATCTCTCGTGCATCCGGAGCTGGACAAGAGCCAGTCCGGTTTGAGGAGTATAGCCGAGCAATGATAACGGCCATCGACGAAGATGGCGGCCAGCCACGGCCACAGGTAAGTGCGACTTTTGCTTTTCGGATCGACGATCAGGTGCGAGTCGGCGCTGCCGCTCAAAACCGGTCTGCAGTGAATCCGTAGAGCCGAACACGTTTTCCCATCTACCACGTTTTCTGCTTCGTAATCCGTGGCATTATTGTCCCTTCCGCCTCTCCCCCGAGGGAGAGTCCCGGTCTCCTCGAGCTCGATCCTCTTCACGTAGACTTTCTCCACCGACTGTACGTTCCTGCGTGCAATCGAGACATTGTATGCATATGTGCGCGCGCGGCATTTTCGAGCGATGCGATTCGTCACACACAAAACTCGTCGCGTCGTTTTTGCTCGGCGGCTGTTACGTATCTTTTTCGCATCGAGATTCATTGTGTTCACGTCATCTTGCGAGCGTGCTCGCGAGAGTCTTTTGTTCTGAACTGTACCTGAATCCGAGATATCTGCACACCTTCTCGCCGATCATCGCCGTTAGAGTATCGTTGTCACGTATCGCTGATCGAGGGCATTCGGTGCGCCACGTTCCGTCTGTGTATCTAGCGAGTAAGCCTGCCGCACTTAAAGCCGGCCGATCGTCGCTGTCCACGTCTACGTACTCCCCGTTGGTCAATACGACTGAGAATTAAACGACGGTTGACGAAAAAGTGAAAAACGTCATTCGATGTGCCACACACACACACACACAAGTAGCGCTAAAACTAGTGACTGTGCGACTCACGACAATCAGCCTCGTCCTCCTTTAGAGCGCAATCGAATTTCCCGTCGCATCTATTCTTCATCGGAATGCACGCTCCGCTTCTACCGCAGTGAAACTCCTTCTCGTCTTTCGTACAAATATCTGAAGCAAGAGCAAAGTCGTTCGTCAAGCGGCTGAAAAGAGTCAAGCGCTCTGACTGAGCATTTTTAGTCCCGGATTGACCAAGAAGCGGAAGAAGCGTTATAACAAAGTGTCCGCAAAGCACCGCAATTCTTTTCATCCGTCCCGTCGTCGCAATCCAGATGTCCGTCGCAAACGGCCGTCGGTCTCAAGCTCCACAGATAGTCCCTGCACGTGCAGCCCTCTTCGTCGGTGCCGTCCTCGCAGTCCAGTCGCTTGTCGCATCTCTTGCCGATCGTTATGGTTTGTATCAGACTGCGAACCAACGACGAAATGTATCTCCGGATACCGGATTGCGTTCGCGTCACGTCAAAGTGCCGCGGAAATTGGAATTTTTCAAGACAACTCACCTCGTGCACGTGAACGTTAATCTAACGCGAGTCGACGCTGTTGTCGACGCTGCCTCGGGCTGTATTGTCACGTCGAATCTCGCGGCAGTACTCGTCGAAGCTTTGTCGTCGTCGTCGTCGTCGTCGTCGTCGTTGCCAATCAGTCGCGTTTGCGGCCCCCTGTCCCCCAAAGTGAAGACCGTCCCAGCGATGGTGCTGATCTCTGTAATGTAATTTGTTGAAAAGCGCTATCTCTCTCTCGCGGTAGAAACACACAGAGCTGTGATAGCTTGTGTGTGAATGCAAACGCAAAATGCGTCTCTGCGCTGTTGCGCGTCGTAGTACCGTTGACATGTTGCCGCTGATCCGCTGAATCCTTTCTCATTTCCATGTCCGCAAATGGTAAATGGTCGTTATTGGAGCCTGACTGTTTGTATTGTCCAAAATTGTCCACCGTTTGCCAGAGACAACCGACTTCATCCTCGGCGTCCAGACAATCTACAACTCGATCGCAATATTTCTCTATCGGCAAGCACCTTTCCGACTCTCCTTGACAACTGAAGCCTGGACATTTGGACAAGGGTGTTGTACTTTTGCCTCCGTCCGAAAGTTTGGTCGGGAACCCTTCTGTAAAATGAGTTTCTTTAAATAATTAAATACATATACATATATATATAGCGGTATCACTAGAAATAAGAAAACGAGCAACGCCCCTTTTACCGTCCTAGTCATTTGATTTTGATCCGTAGATCTGATCTCAAGAAAAGTCGTGTCTCAGAGTCGCAGAGTCGTCGGAGTCGTCGGAGTCGCCGGTATCGCGTTTCATCCCCTCTCACCGAAAAGACTCACCGATCAGCTCTTGAATCCAGCCCACAAAGTAGCCCACCCTCGTGTAAACGCCGGGCTCGTTCAGACGTGCGCACCCGTCGCCATGACTGATTACGCCCGCCACATACCACTGCGACTCGGCGGAATTCGGATCTCTGCGGTGGAAAAACAAATCGTCCCGACAGACAGTCGGTGACATACACAAAGTGTGTATCGGGTAACAATGACAATTGGCGATTCGACCCGTCACCCGCGCGCTCACCTGCACATCAAAGGGCCGCCGCTGTCACCTTGACACGCGTCGTGACCACCCTGAGGATAGCCCGCGCAAATGGTAGCGTCGTTCCGATCGAAAGGATGCTTGCACGATGATAAAACCGGCACCTCCACCTCACGCAACTGGTCGGCTAAGCGCGAAAATTCAGTTCGATACGATGATACGTGTCGGACAAACGCGTAACAAAGCGGAGATAAATTGTTTGCTGGTGTTATTGTGCCGAGTAAAGTAAATCGATCGCGTCTTACAGTCAGGCCCGAATTCCCTCGTAGCGCCCCATCCGAGAGCAACGCACATGGATTGCGGGGTTGGTTCCAACCTCCGTTCAATGTCTGGCGGTAGACAAGCCTGACGAACCCATCGATTGAAGAGGAGGCTTTCGTTCAGCATAATCAGCGCGATGTCATTTCGCATGATGCGATTGCTAAAGTCGGCGTGTATCAGCACGTTTCTCGCTCTTCTCCACTGAGCCATCGGCGAGAATGAAAATCGTCTGAGCGCACCGGCCTGCACCTCGTAATAATGCTTCTCGTACCTAATCGCAACAGATTTTCTCAGAGCTGTAGCCGAAGAGCTGTGGCCGACGCGAAACTCGCGCAAAGTGAAATCGCGCGATTTCCTTCCAACGATACGAGACGATAGACGGTAGTATGTATGTATGTATGTATGTATGTATGTATGTATGTATGTATGTATGTATGTATGTATGTATGTATGTATGTATGTATGCATGTATGTATGTATGTATGCATGTATGTATGTATGCATGTATGTATGTATGCATGTATGTATGTACGTATGTATGTCGACTTCGACAATGCAACGCACTCACTCGACCATGCAATGAGCCGCGGTGAGTACCCAGAGTTCGGTGAGGATAACACCGCCGCAGTGGAAGGTACCGTCCTTGTAGATCGCGACCAGGAAGGGCCAGGCTCTCGGCCGACTCGCCTGACCACCGACCACCCCCACTTGCGGATCGACGAGCGTGTCGTTGTTCTCGTTCTCCTTAGCGTTCTCCTTAGCGTTCTCCTTAGCGACAAGCGGATGCTTGTCGTCCAACAATCGAAGAGTCTCCAGGTAAAGGTCGTCAAAACCAAGAGCAAGCTGCTCCGCGTGCTCCGTGGCGTAGCTACCTTCCTCTCGATCAGTCGTGTCGGAAGGGACGGACGCCGTCCCCAAGAAGAAGAAGAAGAAGTCACGCCGCGAAGAGTCGCCGCTGGTGCCGCAACGCAACGGCGGGCATCTGACAAACACCACCGAGTGCTCCGGACACGAGTGCACGAGTCGCATCTGTCCGTCGGATCCGTTCAAGTAAGGGCCTGGGAGGTCACTCAAGGCAGGCAAACGGACCGTTTCTATCGTCGGCGTTGCTCTGAAAGACACCGATCGAAGATAGGCTGTCAGCGGTCAGCCGGAGCGGTCTCGCGCGCGACTTGTCAGTCGCGCGGCTGCGCTCGTCATTGCTGAATTTCAATTCAACCAATTCAATCTGAGAGACACGACAAACAAATGTGTCGTGTTTGAGTTGACAAACGAGCGGCACGTGTTACGTACGTTGCGGACCGGCCGGTTTCTGACGCGCAAGCATCCATCGCCCAGAGAGGCTCGCTCGTACACACGGGATACCATTGTCCTCGTACGTTCTTGTGAAGATATCCCTCTGTGTAACCGATCGTAAATATCTGAAAGCGATACGACAATTAGAATGTCGCGCGAATCGTGAAAAGATCGTGCACAAATTAAATCGCGTACATCTTTCCCATTTATAAACGACGTCGAAAGTACGTTGCAATCTAGCTCGTCCTTCCCACTGTGACATTGCTCCGCTCCGTCGCAACGTTGGGAAAGCGGTACGCAATTATCGTGGCTGTGACGCCAATCCCAATCGTCACAGCTGAAAGAGTCGTCGGGACAATCTGAAAATTCGTCGACTGCGGGTAAGGCTTTATCGACGAGACGATCGATGATGAGTCGATAAATTGCGTTTGACTAAACCAAACGTTGAACTTTATCAGAGAGAACAAAGACTCAGAGAGCGTAAGTGTTCCGACAAGTTTTTTAAATTGATGTTGAGCGCTGAAATGATGTTTCGTATAAGTCGCGTCGTGGGTAAAGCAGCTCACTTGCGTAAAGTGTAACTGATATTTAGCGCCATCTGGTGGATGGACACTCAATGTTGGAGGAAAAGAAACGTATTGTGTGTGTGTGTGTGTGTGCGTGTTGTTATCATTTATTAATAACTGGACAATGCATGCGTACGAGCGTATTGAAAAGTTTTCGTTCATTTCTGGATATCGACTTTCGGAAGCAAAAAACCGATGAACCGATGAAAGAATAAATGTGGCGCGCTCGATTGGACAATTAGATTTCTACTGTATCATACATTTCCAATCTGTTTCTTCGATATCGCTTCGTCAAAATTGACGCACCGCGCCACATCAAGAAGCGTTCGATTTCAACGAAAGAGATAACGGGAAAGGGAATAATAATGAAAGGGACGAATTGTATACACACAATATGTGTGTAAGATGCAAGAAGATGCTGCAAAATGTATGTAGAATAAATAAAAGATGGTGCGAGAGAGAGAGAGAGAGAGAGAGAGAGAGAGAGAGAGAGAGAGAGAGAGAGAGAGAGAGAGAGAGAACTTACTGAAACAGCCGAGCTCGTCTTCTCCGTGCGGACAATCAAAATAACCGTCGCAAAGTCGATCACGGGATATCCGGTGTTTGCAGGAGCACATGGTCTCGTCGCTGGCGTCGGCGCAATCCACGCGACCGTTGCACCATTTTGACTTTGAAATGCAATGTCCATCGCTAGCGCATCGACGATAATTCAATGGACACGCACCGTAATATTCTGAAATAATTGTCATATCATTCACCGATCAGAAACCGACGTTACGTTACGATTTTCGTCATTTTCTCCAGAAAATCGCGGCTAGACTCAAACGAGTCGAGGACTCGAGTACTCTCAATCTCCGTTGAGTGAATTGAAATTTCTCTTAATCGGCGGATTGTACAGCGAACCAACGACAACAAAGTCGTTAGGCTGCTTGTCGTTGAGTCCCCTCGAGCCTTCCGCTTCCGTCGGATGAGGAGCGAGCAAAGTCTTACGTGCCGGATATTGACGGGAATGGCAATGTCAATATCGATATGTATGACCGAGGTCATAAAAGTAGCTGGAAAAGCTCGCTTTTCGGACGAGATCGATTGCCGCTGATTCAGCGGGAAGATTGGAATGTTTGGAGAATCACAGAGAATTTTTCGGATTTCGGATCGATACCTGATTCTGCTCGGCTGGGCTCGCGCAAAATTGCCGATGTAGCTCGATCTCGTCACGCGTCGCACTGATGGCGCTTGCTCTTGCACGTACTTTGGCATAGACGTGAAGAAGGAAGAAGAAGAGGAGGAGGAGGAGGAGGAGGAGGAGGAGGAGGAGGAGGGGGAGGAGGAGGAGGAGGAGAAGGAGGAGGAGGAGGAAGAGGAGAAGTAGGAAAAGGAGGGGGAGGAGGAGGAGGAGGAGGAGGAGGAAGTAGGAAAAGGAGGAGGAATCCATACCTGGAAACAGACTGCTCTGTAACGAGAACAGCTCGTGATTTTGCAAAGAACCCGAATGAAGCGTCGATCCTGGTTGCGACTGCCTGTTGAGAAGTTGGCCGGGATAACCGTAGAAGCAAACCAGACGCGGCATTGTCCGTAACATTGTGGACGTCATCTGCAACTGCCGAGTGCCTTTCGCGTTATCTTCGGTCTGCTTGGAACTCCCACCGGCGACCAGTTTGGTATTGTTCTTTACAAGACGATCGGCCGACACGGTCGTCGATTGTTCTGCAATTTTTCACATGTATGTTTTGTAAACAATGTATGTACAACTTCTCGAGAGTTGTCGTTTCGCACGTCTTTTCCTTTTTTTTTATTTTTACAAGAAACATCGACGAAATCGATTTTCTCCTATATCCTATCGTTTGGACGCGCATACACCAGTTACACCGATATCGCTTACATGCAATATTGAGGATATTCAATGTATATTCCGAGCGTTCACTTTGAATGTGAAGAAACGCGCGCGCGTGCGCGAAGGAGAGAGAGAGAGAGAGAGAGAGAGAGAGAGAGAGAGAGAAAAAGAGGAGAGCGAAACACGAGAAGCGTCGCGATGCAAATATAGCAAAGAGACATTTTGGAAATCATTATCGACGAATCATTGTTATTCCAGATAGAGATCCCTCCCGATCACGTACCGGACGCTGCGGTGATCGGCCGATCTTCCGGGTGTCCCTCGAACGAAGGATACATCGTCGCGCCGGTTGCGCTGTTGTTGGTGTTCTGCATGGGCTTCTCGTTTGTGTTCACTCCACCGGCGCGGGCGGTTGTTGCGCCTCCCTCAGATTCGGTCGTTGATGCGTCGTTTACCGCAGAAACGACATTGCTCCGGACCTCGAGCTCGACCGCGTCTGATGCGCGATATTTGTCGACGTCTCTCGGCACAGTGGAAACGCTCGCGTCATGCGTTTGCATTCTCGCTACGTACGAGTCGTTTCGATTCGGACCATCGGCGTTCGGCCGTTTATCAGTGTCGTTGATATCAGCGCGATTTACGTCCATTCGTAAATCTCCAGCCGAGTTTACTGTACTTGCCTGATCGAGCGACGAATTTGTCTTTGTCGTTATTTGAATCCTCGCAGTTTCCGGCCGATCGACACCGTCGACGCCTCTCGCTGCGCCTACACTGCGTGGCCCGCCGTCGACTCCTGCTGCGTCACTCAACAGTTCGACGACTGTCGATTCCGGCGAATCCTGCAAATGATTTTCCCCGACGTACTTGTACAACGGATATTTATCGCTTGATTCGCGCGTCGTTGAGTCGTCGTTGGATTTGCTCGACTTGCGCTCCCTGCATTGCACACATTTCAAAATATCCTCGAATATGGACACCTGACTCTCGTCGAAGAATTCAATGTTGAGTGTCTTTAGGTACTCGTGAATCGATTTCAGTAGCGTCTCGCAACGCTCCGCGCTCATAACGCAGTCGCGCCTATCGCGCGATATCTCTCGCTTGCCGCGCGATATCTTCCCGATGACCACCGCGCCTGTCGACGACGCGTCGCGGTCGTCCTCTGCATTCCGTTCCGTTTCCGTTGTCCGCTCCGCCGTGAACTCTGTCCGATCGCTAAAGGAATTCCAGTACGAGTCCCCATCGATCGTCGCTTTCACCACTTCCGACAATGCTGTCTCACTCCCGAAGAAATAGTCTTGCCCGGCGCGCTCTGGAAGAATTGTGGCGGAGAAGATAACTTAAGAAGATGCACGGAGAGGAGAGAGAGCATTGGCTGGCAAATTAGAGATTGCAGAAACCGACTACGACATCTACGACTACGACTACGACATGCCTGTGCGCGATATGCGCGTGCGTTTACATACCTGAAGTATCTTGGACATTAGTAGATAGTAATGGAATAACGGCGGGTACAATTTTCGCGATTAAATTTAGCCCGATCAACAGAACTGCTCCAGCCAGAAGGACACGCTTGTACCGTCCGCAAAAGTCCAAACAGCCACGTCCGTTTGATTTCGCGTGCGGTTTCGCGTCGGCTGTCTCTAAAAACGTCATCGGCATCGATGTACATACAATAAATAAATTGGTGTCTACTCGGGGTGTCACTACCATATCGCTGATTACACGAGTCTTCAAAACTAAATAAAGTTTTCCGTGACAACGGCGAGCTAGATTTGTGCTGGATTTTACACATGTCGTTTATCGCGAGCAATGAGTTTACCTGTATTTTTGAAATCCGACAACACGACGCAACATGGTTGATCGATTTGAGGATTGGCTACTCGCAACTTGCTCTTGCCGACTTCTAGCTTATCCGAATTACCCGCGAGATACACTAATTGCAGACGAAAATAATCAAATAAGAAAACAGATAACTCAACAAAGGAATAGCAGGAAGGAGAGAAAGAAAAGAGGGGAAAAGAGGAGCGGAAGGAAGGAAGAAAGTAAGAAAGAGAAAAGGAACAAGGAACATCAATTGAGATAATTACACAGGATAAACTTGAATATCCGAATATTTCCGGCGGATAGAATCACGCAAAACGTTCAGCAAAACTTACTCTCGCGTGCCTTCCCAAGCTGTTCCTCGCGTTTTACTTGCAGGAACATACGAGTATCCAGCAGCAAGTAGCAAGCTTGTCGGAACGAGACGGCTTTGTCGATCCTCGCGCGTTGACGATCCCGACGACAACTGACTAACAGGAACAGGATCGATCGATTGACCTCCGCTCGCCGTTCGTAAGCAACGAAAATCTGCTGACTGCTATTTTGTCTCTCGTTACAACCGTGTGAACGAACCCTTTTTCACTCACTCATTTCGATCGATCGACGAATGGCATTGCCACGAGGCTTGCACAAAACAAACGATTAAAATTCTCGACTTGTACGCACAACGAATTAAATTCGAACGCGCGATTCGATGCTTGAGAGAGAATCAAAAGCCGTCGTGCATTCTGCTCCGTATGGATGTTCGGTCCCGTAATTTGATTTAACAATCCCAACGAAGCCCAACTAGCGCTTGCGATTAGTGGGTTCTCATTTCTGTATAGAATTTTTCCTGGGAAACTTATAACCTGAATGAGGAGAAGTCTATCAGCCGTTCGTTGTGTGCCGGAAAGTGTGCCGTAACGCGTACTGTTATTTCTTCTGTGTTCTGGGTAAAAAAGAATTGAGATGAGAAATCGAACGTGGTATCCGTTCTCTTTTCTTTCCTTTTCCCTTTATTTCTCTTTCTCACACGACAATCAATTTCACCAGAGAGTCTCAACGAAAAAGACTACTACTTGTCGTCGAAAGAAGTTGATGCAGTTTTATTTCACTTTCTTCTTCGCGCAAACTGATAAAAGCCACTTTTAAGAAAACGTGACGAGTTGAGATATTGCTAGCGATACACGACGCGTCAACTATTTCGAAAGCAGCATTTTACGCGAAGATCGACAACAATAACTCCGAAAGCGAAAATGCTTTTGGGAACAGTATATATAAACGTAGCGATATATTGCTGCGATTGGAGACTGATTGCATATATCAAGTCAAAGTATTATTAAGTTAAAGTTTCTCTGCCAGCGTTTGCCCTTTTGCACATTGTACTACGACGTTTTGCCGTAAATTGACAACGAATCGATCATCATGACGACCATACACGTCGCTGCTGGCAGTTTTCTCTCTCTCTCTCTCTCTCTCTCTCTCTCTCTCTCTCTCTCGCTCTCTCGCTCTCTCTCTCTCTCGCTCTCTCTCTCTCTCTCTCTCTCTCTCTCTCTCTCTCTCTCTCTCTCTCGCTCTCTCTCTCTCTCTCTCTCTCTCGCTCTCTCTCTCTCTCTCTCTCTCTCTCTCTCTCTCTCTCTCTCTCTCTCTCGCTCTCTCTCTCTCTCTCTCTCTCTCTCTCTCTCTCTCTCTCTCTCTCTCTCTCACTCTCTAAGGACAACGATAACAATTTTCGACATAACTAGTACATCAACTAGTAAATGACAGCAAATTCGATCGAATTTGAGAGACTTCGATCGATGCAGACACAACAAACGACAATTGGTTGAGAGCTAAGCATTGTGTATCACGAGAAAGAAAATCACGAGGGAATTAATCGGCTGAATCCAGCTTGATCCAGATAATAATAATAGTGTTTTTTTTCGGATGCACGCAAAACGCAAAACTCCGCGTCAGCCATGTCCCGACTGTTCCGTACACGCATCAGCATGTGCCAGAATGTGCCAACTTGTCGCATATTTGAAACATCAAATATCGCTCGGGGCGATGAACTTGCTGCTGCTTTTTCCGGCTTTGCCAGCAACTGAGAAACGCGATACTTCCTGAAAGCTCTGCACAAATTTCAAAATCATTCGGAAACTATTTTCCTCCGCTCCAAGTACAATCATTCAGCGTATTCCTCATTAAGGAGCAACAATGTATGTTAGATTTTTAAGTTCGCATCGCACAGCGCAATTGAACAATTGTCTCGTCCTCTAGTCGTTCGCGCAACCATGTAAACCTTCGGTCACAGCACGTCACAGCACAGCAGTAAAGTAACCGTAATAGGTCTTTCATTAATTTCCCCAAGCTTCGCTCGAACGAACGAATCTACTGCGACCTGTTTTGTACCATTTTGTAACTGTTGGAAAATATAATACAACAACCTGCGGAGAAATGACAAAACGAAAGAAAGAACGCGGACATGTATCTGTAAGGAGTGCGAAAAATGATGCGAATTAAAGAAATGAAAAGGAGAAAAAGAAAGAAAATCATTTTCCGAATCCGATCGTTTATCTTGCCTGCGCTCATGAGCCGCGTCACTTACGCAATTTAAATAGATTCTATTTGAGTAAAGTTCTACTTTCCATAAACACTACAAATCAAGTAGATCTTGATTTAGATCTTGAAATTCCGCCCGATACATGTGATGATGATTATTTTGGGCTTTAGTCACGTTGAAATTGTTTCAGCTATTGTTTCAGCAACGATAATTGCACAATCCACCTAGTTTTACTTTCTCCCGCGAGTGCTCGAGCCGCTTCACGGATCGATGAAAGTGACAGTCCGCGCTCCAACGTCACGCCAAGTACACGATCGTATTGACGGGGATCGGATCGTTCCACACGTTCAACAGCAATCGCGACTGCGACCGTTCGTTGCGGCGACTCGTGCGTGCTTGGCTGCGATCGTGTGGCTCGATGGGTCGACAAGACCGCAAAACACCGAAAAAGCCGCGCGCAATCGTTAATTGTTTCAAGGGAGGGTTGGGAGTAGAGGTGAAGAGTGCTTAGTCTAGCGCTCTCATCGTTATGCCGCAGTGAGCGACTTGTTAATTGCTATCAAGAAGACACCTCTGTCAAAGAGACGCACCATCGTGGAAATTTGTTACGTGACGTTCGCTGGGCGAAAATTGCGCAATTAGATGGGAGTACGTAAAGAGTGCGCGAGTACACCAAGTGCAAAGCGTGGTGGTGCGGATGTGAAATAATTTAACAGTTGTCATCCGCCCGAATTTTTCCCTCTTGAACATTGAAACGAAACGCGTGGTCTAACGTCGCGTCTATAAAAATGACCGTCGCGCACGCGCACGCGCGCGCGCGGGCGCGCGCGCGCGTGTGTGTGTGCGTGGATATAATCTGTAACCTGTAATGTGAAACTTGCTCCTCGGGTAATATCCTAAGGGGAAACGGGAACAGAGCCACCTTTACGTCGCGAACCAAAGTCAAACACGAGAGTGAGAGAACTTTTGCCCGTCGAGATGTTGCGCCCGTCGGACGTAATAAACTGAAAACGCGAGAGGAAACATCGCCAATGACGATGATTTGTGAGTATCTGTGTTAAACTTTCCAATCGAGTAGAATCGATTAGTGAAACTCGATGAAATAACCTATCGTGTCCTATCGTGCAACCAGAGTAAACAGAGTCAAATATCCTTGATTGACCTCTCGTGATGTACGCTGGAGTGAAAAGCTTTTTCTATTGCTGTTACAATCGCGAGTATACGAGCGCGCGGCGTAAATGCAATAGAAAGTTGTTCTTTCTCCCTTGTTTCTCCACGCGACAAGTTGACAAGTGACAAGTGCACGTCGCAATTGTGCGCGATATACACAATATGTACGTGTATATACGATGCGTACGCGTTACTCGGGGAGTTTTAGGAACGGGATGGAAATTGTTTCCGCGCCGTTCGAAATATTACAGGGGTGAAATTGCTGAGAAAATAATATCCGCAAACTGGTACGCGCGCCTGTATCGGAGTCAAGAGAAACCGGTGTGTCAGTCCTTTTGTGTGTGCGTTGCGCAGCTATCCACAGTGTTCATTATCGTCGGTACAATTGAATTATACCTCATAAATAGTTGGTAATATTTTTCTCTTATCTCCTTATATTCCACTTGAATCTACTTCACCGAGAGAGAATGGGAGAAAGATGTATAAATGCACCTGGTACGGTTATGAAACTGGCAGGCTTTGTTTGTGAGAAAATATCGCTCGCATAAAATATCGCGACCCGTTGAAATGCCACTAACTAACGACACTAAAACGACACTGAGACAATTCACATCAGAATGTATAGAATCACTTTGGAATATAGGGATTTAAACTCTAGTATATTGGTCTTTTTACGCTTTTTAGAATTGTTTAAAGTCTTTATTGTGTATATGGTATATTACCGGGAACATTATAGGATTTTAAAATATAGAGCAGACTTAAAAAACGACAGGTATATAATGTCGCGTATACATTGCTATTTCATCCATTATCTGTCTCTCTCTCTCTCTCTCTCTCTCTCTCTCTCTCTCTCTCTCTCTCTCTCTCTCTCTCTCTCTCTCTCTCTCTCTCTCTCTCTCTCTCTCTCTCTCTCTCTCATGAATCTATTAAATCTATCTAGAGTAGTCACGTGTAAAGCATTATATATTCATAACTCTCCGTTTTATCGAAACGCAACATTTTACTACTGTGTTGTTTTTAATTCGAAATTAACGTATTTTGCAATAATTTTATCGCCTTTTATCGCCACTTCATTTTCGTTGGTAAACTTGGTAATTGAAGATAATTGAATGTGGTATTTCAACTCAAGTTGTTATCATCATTTTCAGCAATTTGAAAGTTGCTACTCACACACGGATATGCGCGCGCGCGCGCGCGCACCATGACATTAAAATTAAATTGTGATCTCTCCGAGAGAAGGAAAGACACACGAGAGCGACGGACAAACATGGTCATTTTGTGTACAATGAGAGAGTCGTTTCCTTCCATTCCCCTTCTTCGCGACAGAATATGTGAGTCCCAACAAAGAGTTTGAGTTATTCGAACCGAGTCTTCATGGTGACGGGTCGGCCGGTCTGTGTTAGTCTCAGTTGACGTCGCATACTTGTCTCTTTCTTTTGATGAAAAGGAGATCTATCGAGATCAGTCCACCGGGGCGATGTACCACCACGATGTGTGTAATCGAGTGAATTATTCGATCCGTCCGTTGCCCATGTCGAGAAGGTATGCAGATGTTTCCGGTTGAATATTATGATGCGTGTCTCCGTGTTACTCATTGACGCGAGTCGATTACGTGAGTTCCGCATATAAAACTACCCCAAACGGATACTTTTATACAGTGCCTACCAAAAGTTCTGGGCCACCTACATAAATTTTTGAATAGTTTGAAATTTATAGGGATACAATGGGATCACAAAGTCTATTATTTAACCACAAAAACATCCACCTCCACACCCCCGGGGTACGGGGGA